TAACCAGTAGGTCCACTCAGCGAAAAACTGAGTCTTCGCGCAGGTATCGCCGCGCAACTTTTGTTTTGGGTTGGATCCAATGAAATGTAAGACGATAGGAACGTACATACATATGTGCAGACAATTTATAAGCAAATACATCAGAAATTTTCTTTAGTGATCACTCCTACGAATAATTGTTACTAATAAAACATTTTATTTGATTCACACATTGAATTTATTGATTTATTGTATCGAATCCATATTATTACTTATCTGTTTTATTACTTGTGAGGCACTTTTCTCAATTCGATCCTGGATTTAACATGGTGGATGCTCACGTGATCCGGAAAAGGAGATCAAAGGCGCCGACACGAAGTGGACCTACTGGTTATACTGTGGTTCAGCCGTCGATAATTGCGCCGTGGACGTCTGCGCCAATGTAGACGGACACAACCTAAGGACGTCCGCGGCGGAGCAGGTATTGGAGGTGGTCCGCAAATGGATGGCGGAACAGGAGAGGCGTTGCAACACGGAGGCAGTCGAAATTCCCGAGATCGCCGAGGAGGAGGTCGAGCCGGAAAGTCCGGCGTATGAGCCAATTACATCATCGCTACTAATGGAAACTGAAGAATAAACCTACCATATATGAGATTATCTCAGAGTTCCTTTAATTATTTTATATACTTTTTCTATAAATTTATTTTATGATTTTATATTATCATCATCAATCATTAATTTGATATATTTGATTTTAACTATAGATTATGATTAGTTCGTTATTTAACTATTATATTTTAGACAGCATTATACAGATTGTATAGTACGGACTGATGGAAGGATGATCAAAGTACAAAATAAATAAAATAAAAGATAAAATGACGAATAACGTTCCATCAAACCTTTACCTGGAATAGAAAATAATAATAATACATGTAATGGAAAAGGTGATGACAATTCGGGCGGTCGACAAGTTAAAATAAGTTAATCCATGCGTTAGCGTTTATTTGAGTTATAATTTAAAGATACATCGTTATTTCATAGTTAGGAATTAAAAGAAAATGTTCCGAAGATAAGTCCGATTCAATAAGTCGCTGTAATAGGAAAAGGCGAGATTAATTACTGATTGTGATCCATAAATTTTATTTTATTTGTATGCAAAATCAGCGTACATAGTTGTTTTGAAGTTTGATAAGCAAAAATGTATCATCCGACCACCGGATAAAGCGATCGATCACGTGACTACCTGTAACAA